AGCTGGCTGGCATTGGCTCTATCAGACATGGGGGAAGCTTCTAGCAGCTTCTCACAGAAGCCTCCCCTGTAGCCTCCTCCCGCAAAACCTTGCCACGCAAACCCGATACACCATGTCAATGGAAGACAATATTGGACCTTTTGTAACTACCTTTTGTAACTACCTCTTGGTCTAACAGTGCAAACTCTGTTTTGGCCAAGCCAAGTTTTATTTTAGTCCATCCAGATATGGGATGGATTAAGGCAATGGGAAATAAAAAAAGACTGTGTTGTCTGGGTCTGATGGTAAAGAAAAAAAAATATGTAAAAACGTGGAGGAATGCATGTGTAAGCAAAAGAGAAGATAAGTATTACTGATGATGTTCAATACACTGAACCATAGTGCATTAATATTCTGTGTTTTTTATTGTTTTGTTTTTTTCATCTATCAATCTAGGCGAGGACTACAGTGTAGCCTCATCAGATGTTGTCTTACTAGAAGGAGAAACAAGTAAAGCTGTGCCAATTTATATAATTAATGATATCAACCCTGAAGTTGAGGAGTCATTTTATGTTCAGTTGCTGAATCAAACAACAGGAGGAGCCTTGCTTGGATCTTTGACTAGGGCAATCATAACTATTGAGGCTTCTGATGATCCATTTGGATCCTTTGGTAAATGAGTCTTATTTGCATATTTTCTCTCTTCTGTTAACATTTTTACTGCAGATTTGTGGGTGAGCTGTTACTGGGCAACTGAATAAAAACTTTCAGAAGACAAAGAGGAAGCCTGGACGAAGACAGTAAAGGAAAAGATAAGATAAACTAAATTAAAACATGTAATTAAGGAGTAATGGTTCTTTAATATAACAAAAAAATATTATTTAGTCAGTTGATATAACAGTATTTTGGAATCTCTCAATAGAGATAGATGGATTTTAGTTTATTTTTTAATTTTTTATCTAAGTGCTGCATTTCTGCAAAATCTGCATTCTAATATCTGTTGCTTAAATACTTTGATATCTTTGTTTTACTAGATAATCAGCCAAAGGCGATTTAAAAATCTGGGGAAACTGGAAAATATAAAGAGAAATTAAATTATACTCTCTTATTTTCTGTCAAGTACTTTAGTTTTTATTCTGCCTCTTACTATCAATAAAATGAATTGTGTATACTTTCCAAAATGAGTTTCATTACACAGGTTTTGAGAAGGGTTTTGGTGATTTCAAAAATTTAATGATATTTTAGAAATCTAACTTTTTGTTTTGTTGTTTGGTTTTTGGTGTATTTTTTCCTGTCTTTTGCTCTGACTTACCCTTTTCTCCCTTCAGTACCCTACTTAGTTCCTCTTGTTCCATTTTGTCAGTAGAAGAAGGTAGAGGAAAGAAAGAAAAAACATCAAAAATAAATAATTCTAGATGGGTAGTTAACTAACTTAATTCTTAAAACTAAATGTTTAATACAAGGAATACTTTTAGTTGAAATAATTTTAGATGGAATATGTTGACTTATTTCTTCAGTAAATGACATGAAAGCTGCTAAAGAGTTTCCTTGCTGGGAATAATTATGAAAGTGTCTTCTAAGAAATTAGAAACAGCTCATGGTTAACCTCGAAAAATGGGTATGTTGGAATAAACTTTTTCAATGAGGGCTTAATTTTCATGCTAATTTCCTCTGTGGATGAAAATATTAATACTGAAAGTTAGCTTTTATGTTTAAACCTGATTAAAAGTGATTTACCTGTGCAAGTAAATGCAGTCAAGTGAAATAAAACTACGTACTTCGGGAGTTGATATATTTACTTTCAATTTCATTGTTAATGAAATACATCTCTCTGCTCTGTACTTCAGTTTTTCAGATTACTGAATTCACTGTGGAGGAACCTGAATTTGGATCAGTAACCATAAATCTGCCAATAATTCGCAATGCTGGGACACTCGGTAATGTTACTGTTCAGTGGGTTGCTACCATTAACGGACATCCTGCTGATGCTGACTTGCAGGTCACCTTGGGTAATATTACTTTTGCCCCTGGGGAAGCCATTCAGATGTTGCTGTTGGAGATCCTGGCTGATGAAATTCCAGAAATAGAAGAAGTAAGTAACGCAGTTACATCTTTCTTGAATAGTATTAGACTTTTAACTTGTTATAGAAATGTGTGCAAAGAAAAACAAGGAATGTTCTGTCAGGAAGGTGCAAAAAGTTCAGATTTTACTTTGCTTGTGATTATTGTTAGAAATACAAAAAATTGTTTAGCTGCCTTATTTCTTTTTCTTTTTTTTTTCTTTTTGAGATTGTCCATGTAGAATTAACTCAGGCCTCCAATGGTGGTGCTATTGGGTTAGATGGCGTGGCAAATATTATAATACCTGCCAATGATAATCCTTATGGCACAGTTTTCTTTCATCAATCCTTATATCGAATTCAGGAGCCACTAGAGAGAAATTTGCTTGCAAATATAACAGTCAGGCGAAGGTTTGTATAATGTTTGCTTTATTTATATCTGTTATTTTTTCTTTTTTTTTTTTCTTGGCTATAATTTCAAATGTCGTGCTCCTCTTGTATAAGTATTTGCATCAATTTCTTGATCTGCCAGCTGAACGCATTTTTATTTCATATACATTGTTTTTGAACTAGATGTCTGCTTATTAGAAATGTACATAAAGTACTTAAATGTAATATACATTGCGATGTACAGTGTACACAGTGTACTTGAAGTTTCATTCTGCCTATTTAATAGTCAAATCATTTAAAGCTGCACAACACCCTGCTCCTGTGATTTGAACTGGAGGACAAAATGGGTCAACCCTTGTGGGATGGAAAGACACAAGAAAAGGGAAACAGGTTTTATGCATGTGATACGATATCCTGAGGACACCTCAGGAAAGACGACAAGGTTGGACAGCACAGGCTTTTTCTTCCTTGCCAGCCCTAAGAAGACTAAGTTAATTCCTGGAAACAAATGTTTGCTAACATGCATTCTTAACAGACTGCTACCCAAGCTATAAATAGTCAAACTTGGTATTCACAAAAAAATGACAACTCAGTTATTGTGGTACTAGCTTCAAGGGAATCCACTTTAATTAGCTATTTGGAACTTTACAGCAATTCAGAAAGGGCCAGTCGGTTTTGTTCACTTTTATTCTTAACCCAGAAACATAAAGAATGTTAGACATACTTCATCAACTAACATTACTTTTTTATTTTAATGTCTTTTAGCGGGGGAAGGTTTGGTCAGCTACAGATATTTTACAGCACTTCTGAGACCGATGTCGTAGCTCTTGCCATTGAGCAAGGTCAGGATATCCTGGCCTGTTACGAGTCTCCTGTACAAGGAATTCCCGACCAACCATCCAAGACCAGAGTGAATGTGTCGGCAGCAAGTGACCCACTGTATGCCTGTGCAACTCAGTGCCTAAAAGAACAAGCATGTTCAGCCTTTACATTTTCCAGTGCCTCTGAGATTCCTCTCTGCCTTTGGCTGACATCAGAGATCAGCCCATTAACTAACACTTCAGGATTCTGGACCTACAAGAAAAATATCACCAGTGCATCCACTCTCTTTAGCACACAAGCCATCGCTGGTAGTGATTATGAATCTGCTACAGGACAGCGGGCCATAATGGAGGAAGGGGAAGAGTTTGCAAATCTCTCAGTTACCATACTCCCTGACAGTCTGCCAGAGTTGGATGAGAAATTCACTATATCCCTTTTGAAAGTTGAACTAATGAACATCTCAGCCAGCTTAAAAAATCAGCCGACTATAGGACAGCCAAATACTTCCACAGTTATCATAATGATGAATGGAGATGCATTTGGAGTATTTAAGATCTACAGCATAAGTCCCAATGCGACAGAGAAAGGTCTGTATATTGAAGTAGAAGAACGTCCTCAGACCAACGTGCAGCTAATGGTACATAGGACAGAAGGCAGCCTGGGACAGGTGGCAGTGGAATGGCATGTGGTTGGTGGAACTGCTACCCCAAACTTGGATTTTGTAGGTGTTGGTGAGACTCTGGTGTTCGCTGAAGGTGAGGCAAGGGTTTTGCGTTAGCTTCTGTTTTATAAAACTAAAGAAAAGCAAAAAGAACCTGACAGACACTCAGTCCTCTGCGTGTTTTGATAAGTGATGACTTATTTTTAGGTTAAACCTCCCTGAATGCTCCGGATACATATGCAAAAGCATATAGGTCATTAGCATATAGCTTTATGTTGCAGAACACACACAGTGGTAGTAAAAAAAAAAAGATGAAAAGCATAAATATCTAAGTATTTTTTTAAGAAATATTGCATTGTTGTCCTGGTTTCAGCTGGGATAGAGTTAATTCTCTTCCTAGGAGCTGGTACAGTGCTGTGTTTTGATTTAGGATGAGGATAATGTTGATAACACACC